TTTCAGGACATAAATATCACATTAAAACAAAAATTAAATATAACATTTAGAGTCCAAAATGAATTATGAATAAAACAGTCAATTTCACACGGTGATATTAGCATTAAAATAAAAACAAATGTATATATGATATTGATATATGTCCTGGACCTTCTGAACATATCCAACTTAGCAAATCAATTTAACGTGCACGCAATTAAATTTTCATGCTATGTCCCATACTATGCGTAGTATCATGACTCCTGATCCATGTTTGCTCTGCTCATAATGTATGAAATATTGCCCGACGCAGCTAATTTTGCAGAGGCGGACAGAGAAAGATAACTCTAGCTGTGGTATTCAAAAGGCAGTGGAAATATGCCTACTACCATCTACTCCTAATACTCATACCCTTCTATCCTGTATATTGCGCATTTATCAAAACATCCAAAACACAGGCGCATTGTGCTACAACATATACAAGAATGGGTATATCTTTAACAATAATTTGCGAAAGTAAACTTAAGTTTACTATAGTTATATTAACTAAAGAAAATACTCTGATTCACCATAAAACTTTACTATAAAACTCTTTTAGAGATTTCAAAGTTTAAAATCTGATTAATTTAATCATTGTAACGGACAATTTGGAAATAATATTTAAATATACTAGTAATAGTTCCATTTGATATAAAAATGTGCATGAATGAACTTTAAAATATAAAATATAACAAACTGAAATTGACAATATTTATGTGGTTTTGGAGATCTGGTCTTCCAACAATCTGTTGGAATTCCCATGGGTACCATTGGTACCCTGCTATTAGCAGACCTACTTTTCTATTCATATGAAGCAGAATTTATTCAAAATCTTATACATGAGAAGAAGAAAATACCTGCGATGGCCCTCAACTCGACATTTAGATATATCGACGACGTATTATCAATTAACAATAGTCATTTCCATTCATTTGTCGACAAGATATATCCCAATGAGCTTGAAATAAAAGATACCACAGAGTCAGATGCATTTGTTTCATATTTGGATATTTTACTAGAAAAAGAAGTTAATGGTAACCTAAGACCTAAGATTAATGATAAACGTGGTGATTTTAACTTTTTAATTGTCAACTTCCCTTACTTATGTAGCAATAAACCATTATCAACTGCATTCGGGGTTTTCAGTTAATTCGATAAATAAGAGCATTATATAGGTATGAACAATTTCTAAAACGAGGTAAGTTTTTGACAAACAAGTTGATGAAACAAAGATATCAACAGTCTCGTTCAAAGTCATCATTTCGTAAGTTCTATGGTCGATAAAATGACCTTATAAGCAAATACAATCTATTATTAAGTCAAATGCTGACTAACCTTTTTAATACTAATTGTTAGATCATTATTTACACACTGAATTGTCTAAAGATTTTTCCGTTATTTTCCGACCATGAAAAGGAGCACGGGGTGGGGGTGACCTGTCGGCAGGGGACGCTCCATGGCACTCGATTCCACCTCTGATGTTTTAGAGATTCGTGTTTGCTCTGCTCCTGATTTGTACTGTTTAAATGGACTTTTGAGCTTGGATACTGTTCGTTAGAAAAATAACTTTGATTTACTATGGTAAAAACTTTGATTTACTTCAGTAAAAACGTGAATGCTATAGTGAACTAAAGTTAACTTTAGACTATACAATAACACTCGTTTAGTACAAACACGGATATAGCAAATTTACGGATATAACGGACTCGGATATAGCGAATTTATGGTTATAGCAAACTGAATTTGTGTACCCTAGAAGTTAAAAATAACGAAAGATACATATTTTATAGCGAATTTTCAATGATCTAAATTTTTTAAAATATTGAACTGACATAATTTTTTAAAGAATTTTATTTGAAACTCAATTCTTCCAAAACATTTTGAACTCCAAAGTAGATTTTGTATTTAATACTTTCCTTAATGCATTTGATAGACACACTTGAAGAAAAAAAAAACTATATTACAATTCGCGATACATACATGTACTTTAAAGAATACGTTTTACGGAATTTAACGAGTTACTGATAGAGCAAAGTAAATTCGTAGGTCCCCAGAACTTAGCTATATCCGGGTTTTACTGTAGTTTAGTAAACTATCTTTAGCTGTAGTATTTTTGTTCGGGAAAGATCAAATGTGGATTCTCAAAAAATCCAAAGCTCGTTTTAGAAAATTTAAATTCAAAATCCCCCCCCCCCCCGAATTAATGATCTATAAAGTTATGACTTTTCAATGCTATTTACAACCACTCTTGGCGATCAGTTAAAGACTAAGCTTAAGATTTTGAACATCATGAAAAACTGCTTTTTTTCAATATAAATGGAACTCGGACATTTTCAGATCTTGTAATTGGTCATCTACAAAGTTATTTTGTTAAAATCATTCCAATTCTACCCACAAGTACAATGAAATTGACATTTTAAAGATGCTGGAGTTCTTCACTGACAATATATATGAAGTCTTTAGAAAATCATGTCTTCAAACAATTCTGATGGGCAACTTTTGTGCTCCTTTGCCGGCAGGCCTATCTTTTTTTTTTTTATTTTGTTGAATCAGAATTTATTTAAAAACTTCTAAATTTGAAGGAGAAAAAATCTTGCTGTAGCCTTCAATTCGACAATTGGATATATCTACGACGTTTTATAAATTAGCAATTTTTTTACATTCTTATGTCCACTCGGTATATGAAATATGAAGATAACGAACAAAAATTAAGCTCACAAGTCCAATGAAACAATACAAATGAGGAGCAGATCAAACAGCAGAGGTGGGATCAGGTGAAAGAGTAAGCATCCCATGTCGATCAGTCACATCCGGGATGTGATCCTTGTCACGACCGGGCAAAAGGAAAAATCCGTAGACAATTCATGGGTAAATAATGGCCTAACAATTAGTATGAAAAACGTTAGTCAGTATTTGACTTAATGATAGATTGTATTTGCTGAAAAGGTAATTGTATCGACCATAGAACTTGGGATATGATATCGACCATAGAACTTGGGATAAACGAGACTGTTGGTATCTTTTTTTCATCAACTTGTTTGTCAATAGCTTGCCTCGTTTTAGAAATTCTTCATACGTAGAGCAGGAGACATAAACCCCATATACAGGTGAAAAGGGTTAGTTGCTAAACAAATGAAGGAAGTTGACGATAGAAATGTTTGAAGTCATCACCTTTATCATAAAGTTTTGTTGTTAGGTTACCATTAACGTCTTTTTCTAGTAAAATATCCAAGTGTGTCAATAGTCTGTGATAACTTCTTATTTCGAGTTCAAAGGGATTTATCGAATCAACGTAAGAATAAAAATGAATATTGCTAATTTATAAAACGTCGTCGATATATATCTAAATGTTGAATGGAAGGGCAGGTCAACTAAAAATACCATTGAGTCACTTTTGATTCATATTTGGATGAATTACTGATGATAGATGTAAATGGCCAACCAACGACTAAACTATATGAGAAACGGAATGACATAGGCTTTTCTATTCCCTATTTATGTTGTAATTTTTACTATCACCTGCATAAAGTTGTCTCTCAATCGTTTCGGCAATAGCGAGGTAATGAGTATAATTTATACCTTAAGGTATGTCACTCGTCAGCCTTTTAGAAAATTTCAGTCAGAACCTCTTACTTAAAAACTATTTATTACAATTCAATCTTTATAACATATTTAAATTAAACAATGTAAAATGTTCAACATTCAATTAAAAAACTGCTCAAAAATTCACAAGGAAGCAAGATTTATAAGGGACTATTTCTTGTGGCGGAAAGATATTTAGCAGAAAATTCTGCAAATCTACACATTTATTAAATTTAATGTCTTGGCACTTTAGCCTCACAAACTTTTACTCAGAGAATATTTTCCATTATGATATGCCTGGAATATTAAATATAGGTCTCAATTTATATTTTTATAACAAAATTTACACCTTGGCTCAACAAACATTGCCAAGAAATGAAGATATATCAGGGAAGTCAAGATAAAATTTACGCAGTTTTTTGCCTGAAAATCTCATATTTTGACCAATATTTCAAAATTTACATCACTGACCCCAACTTTTTCTTTCATTATTTTAAACTACTTGATACTTTTGACCGATCAGCACTTAAGTCGTAAAAAGTTTGATACATAAAAATATTCTATTGCCTATTTAGATTTTTAATACCCCAAATATGAGACTTTTTTAGTGCAAAAAGGTCACACAATAATTTACGCGCATTAATTTGCATGATTTGTTCAATGATAAATATTATTCAATCTATTTTACGTAAAATGAGATTATGTTTATTGCCATGGTTACATCTTATAAAATATGATAACGGTTAAAGTGATTAACCAAAGAGTTACAATTTAAGTGCAAAAAGGTCAACTTAATTGTACCGTAGCTCAGTTAGATGCACACTGACCCCCCATTTTCTCTGCGATTTTGAGTCATACTATATGAGTACTTATCCAAAATATACTTCTCAAAAAATCCTTGATATAACAAATTTCACGAGTGACATACCTTAACAGAGGCAGGCTTCTGAGTAGCTGTCTTATGATCTTCATCAGTCTTTTCTAAAGTCAGCATTTTTCAAATTCTCTGTTTATCAACATGACTGTTTAAAACTAAAACCTGTTTTGACTGACATGTCTCATACTAATTCTTATACCATTGTTTTATTTTATACTTATTCCGTGATTGACTTGAACTTCATACATTATAGGGCTAACACCGGAGGCTTCGATCGAAAATCACATTAATTGTATACAAATATCTATTTGATGACATTGCTTAAAATGCTTGCTTATATAGCTGTTTTTCGTGCTTATTTTTACATATCTAATGTAGCTGAAACTTTTAGAAGGAAAAAAGAAGATATTTTACGGTATTATTTTGTGTTGTTAAATTGACATGTTTTGCTGTTGAAAGTCTGATATTCAGACGAGCAAGAATTCACATTTCCAACTTCAACAAATCTTTAATCACTCATATTTTTACCTTGATAACATAAAAACAGTTTCAAAATCTAACAAATCTGATTGGTAAAAAATATTTAAAAAAGTAAAAAGCAATTAACTTTCTTAACGTCAGAGCATTTTGACATTAAAACTCAATTCTTAGCCAAAAATAGGCTGCGTTGGTTTATAAAATCACGCTTTTGCTGTCAAACATTTATTTTGAAACCAATTGTCTCTTTCCTGATGTTTTCTGTTTCAAGAGAAGTCGAATGGTCTTGGGTCTGTTTCAGGAGGCTTTCTTCTTTCAAACACAAGACCGGAACCTTCCTCCGGATAAACTCTACTAATTCTCTTATGATGCAGCTCTCTGAAAACAATTCATTTTAATTTTTTTCATTGTAATGATTTTTTTAATTTTATATATGACAAAATACGAACATTATCAGTCTAAATACAATATGAACACAATAATTTCTAATCACAGGTGAATATGAACTCTAAGGGGGTGGCGGGGGATTGAAATTCTCTGACAGAAAAAAAATGTCATCAAGCTTTTAGTGAGGAGCGCATTCGTAAATTAGATTTAGTTTACTATTTAGTTTACTATATGGACCCTTATACTCTGGCAAAATTATTGGGAGATATGGCCCAACGTCTTCCCGGTTCCTACGACCTAGTATACAGGAATAGAAATATCACATGTGAGATACATTAATTTTTCAAATTTGTTAGTTATAAGAACTGTTAGACATTTTTGCGCTTTGAGATAAAAACTTACTTTTTCCGTGTTTTAATATACAATATGAAGGCTATAATGATCAGGAAAACCACGCCTCCTACAGATATACCGGTGTATAGCAACAGATTGTCTGCCTCTGTAACCAAGAGTGAGAAGTGTTATAAGATAAAAAAATATTTTAAATACTAAAAAAAATGATTTATATTACTACACTATCTTTTGAAAATTAATCTTTTGAAAAAAAGATCAACATCATCCTCAAAGAAAAGTTTACAAAGGACAAAAAAGAGAGATGAATATAATTCAAAATTTCGATTCTAACATTGACAACATACAGTCCAATCGATTTCCTCTATGGTTGTAGTATTAAAAACAAGCTTGATAAGATAATTACCTGTCTGTGGCAAACTTGTATCATTTGCTGAAGCAGGCTAAAAAATGAAGAAAAAAATACACATATTTAATCCAAAATCAAATATAAACGAAACTTTCTTCTCCAACAAAATCAGATTTAGCGATAACAAGTGACCAACATCTGAAATAAATAAATATAGAACCCCACAGCTTTCTAACGATTACGTTACAAACTGAGTCGCCTCACAACTTTTTTACGTTTACCTTACATGAAATATGAAGATAACGAACAGTATTCAATCTCGGAAGCCCAATGAAACGATACAAATTTGGAGCAGAGCAAACACGGACCTCAAAAGTTAGAAGTGGGATCAGGTGACATGGAGGAGTGAGCATCCCCTGCCGACCTGTCACACCCGCCGTGTGCTCCTTGTCATGTAAGAATATTCTCTCTATTATATCTTTATACCTTTTCCGCACGTATCAGAGTAGATGCATGCCTTATAATAGCGTTCTTATGTTAACCAAGCATTTAAGAAGAGACTCTTATACGAGCATTCTTTTACCGTACGTAGAGTGTAGACGCCTTATCTTTTTTTACTTATACTGGACGGTTTAGGACCTTCTTACCTTTATCGTATACATATCAGAATAGATGCCTTATAATAATTTTCTTTCTTTTGCCATACATGTTGGGATACACACGTTTTGTTTTTCTAACCTTTACTGTACATATCAGAGTAGTCGCTTCACAACTTTCGGTCAAACTGTTAAATAGAAGAATTGTGGTCGAGTTTCCAAACGAAGTTCCGTCATAACTTAGCTGGATTATCCAACCATATATGTTACTTCCAGCAGATCGTTTGCGCCTGCGTGAAGATGGGGAATCCGGAAGTGAAACAGTAACAAGGTTCATATGTCGATATGTGACATTTGTAGACACGGAGTAGTCCTGTCTTTCCATACCATTTCTAGTTGACTTTGTAGAAAATTGAATTCCTTTATTATGTATTTTTTCAAAACTATTATTAACACATCTCATTAATTTTTTTTTTTTTTTTTTTTTTTTTTTTTTTTTTTTTTTTTTTTTTTTTACAATTTTGTATAACTGTGTTTAAAATTATAGTAAACAACAATGAAATTTAGAGAGCGAATAAATATGTTTTAACACTACTTTCGAATTCATTACCAAAGCATACGAATGTAAAATGATGCAAATAAAAACTGATTGTTCAATTAAAAAGCATAATTCTAAACTTTATTCAATGAATGAAACAAAAACGAAAAAAATTTAGTTTCAAAAAATACACAATACCTTAACTACATGGTTTTCATATTGAAATTAAAGAAATATGTGTCTTTAACTCATAAAACAATTGAATTATTTATGTCAACTTATTCCACGTGCTTCCTGCATATAAATATTATTCATATTTTTTTTACCTGAAAGTATATCAAATTGGCAATAATTTGTTCGGAATTAAAGGTTCCCACCACGTTTGTTTTCTTACATGCCCGTTTACTGGTGTCACAGAGCCCGTGCTCGGGGACGGAGAGGTCTGAGGGAGGGACCGACAGCTGGGAGGAACAGTCATCCCCTATGTACCCCTCATTACACAGACACGTCTCTGTCAGGAAAAATCAAATACGTAATGTGAATTATAACTTGTCTTTTATGGTTACATTGTTTATCCTTCGTACCTTTCTTTTATTATCAGTCATATAGCAGTAATACATTCTCAAACGTTCTAGGAGAAATATTATTTCAGTGTGCAATTAACAAGAATCATCGTTTTATTTTATGACCACCTGCCATAAAAGGTTGGTCATTTTTTGATACATAATGCAAGTAAATCATCAGACATTTGCAGTCCTACCATTGACACAGGCCCCTTTCTGTGAACAGTTCTTTGGGCAAACCATGGTTGATAACACATCCAGGATACTAACACTCTCGCCATCTGTACTGTTAGAGCTAGAGTTATCAGACTTTTGGAAACTCTCGTCACGTGACGCAGTCGTTACACATTCCTTTTTCAGAGTATCCAGTGTTGCCTCCACAAAGTCTGTGTTTCCTATTTTCTGGACATGTTTAATAATGATAATCAATATGTTATATTATGTTTAATAAGTTCCTACACTGTATTGTACAATACACAAGATAATTCAATTAGTGATAAAAATAATTTATTACATATCACAGATACAGACACAAAAGGTCTCAGACCTTTTATTTATCTGATAAACTTTAGGATACACATCTTTTAACACACCTGCTTAAACTTTGTAATAATATACATATGTCTACAAATGAAACTTAAAATACCACCCTCCAATATACAAATTCCTTTTTTTTAATTGCTTACCTTAATATCACTTATACAGCCATTGATATACTTTCCTTTTCTTTAATTACTTACCTTAAAATCACTTATACAGCCATTGATATACTTTCCTTTTCTTTAATTACTTACCTTAATATCACTTATACAGTCATTAATATACTTTCCTTTTCTTTAATTGCTTACCTCAATATCACTTATACAGCCATTGATATACTTTCCTTTTCTTTAATTGCTTACCTCAATATCACTTATACAGCCATTGACATACTTGGTGATGCTGGTGTTTACTTGTTCTATACAGAAGGATACCACTGGGTCCAGGGCAAAAGTCTTGTTACAGTAGTCCGTGGCTGCTGTCTCGTTCCAACCGTTTGTCCACGTGGCCTCCTGTTATACAAAGTCGGTTTCACGCAGTGCACAGATAAAAAAAGGTGATTCTTACAGAATTTTACTAAATTACATGTATTCTGAAAGTGGTTTTATTGATGATATTTTGGAAACTTCTATAAAAAATTTTACTTATAGAATTGATGTGATTAACATTTAAGGTTATGGCCAACTTGCTATGTCTAAACATAAAAAACAAAATGACACACAGGTAGTTCTATTGTGTCGTTATATTCTGGGTCGTAGCCAAATTCCTCGTCATCCATGACGTCATCAGAGTCTACCGTGTCTCGCTTTCGCCTGTTTTGTGAGCAGACGTTAACAGTTTGACTGACGCGACTGGAGCAGGGTTCTGTAGGAGCCTCCAGGTTACATTTGGCATAGTTTCGGTAATAAGAACTTCGAACGCTCCAGTACGATGCACATGTACAAAATTTTGTATGGTAAACAGGATCAGTCTTAATTACTCTAAAATAAAGAGTAGTTTGCGGTAAAATAACATATAATGTATTTCTGTTTAATATTTATGCAAAAATTTTCATTTGTTAAAATAAAAAAAAAGACACATACGATCCATCTCCAGAAAGAGCCTTTGGGTTCTTTGCAAAAAGACTGTCTCTCCAAGGTACTCTGAAATAGCATTAGAATGTATATACATATTATACATTTATTGCTTCATCGTAAAGAGACATGAGGAGCTAAGAAATACCAAATTCCCAACACTGGTTTGCTAGTTATCCGGATCCTTATCGTGATTCCACCTTTGCTGTTTCAAAATCAGATCAATGCGTCCGGAAGTAGCATCATACTAGCGGAAGCGGATAATTTTGGCTTAAAGCATTAAATAAGCTTTATTTGTCACATGTTTACTTCTTTGTACAGTAGATATACCTCACAGGGTATCGTTTTCATATCCACGGTGATGACGTCACAATGTTTTTTATGTGAATTTGATAAAGTCAAATGTTGTGGATTAACATATATAAAACAGTGTAAAACATAAAATAGCTATATGTGAAGCATGTGGCTTCTCTGTGTGTTTTTATTCCTCGCCAAGGCCTGGGGATAAAAACACAACTCGTTGGATAATAGAGGATATTCAATGTCTTGAAGCTGGATGTGGAATTTATTTCACAAGAGAAACAAGGTTATTTGATAATTTTACAAGTGCGAAGCACGAATGAAAATATTAAATAATCTCGTCTCACGAGTGCAATAAATTCTATATTCAAGTACAAAACATTGAATGTTCTGTTTATTACATATCTTTGATTTTCCCTTTGCCTCTGTCTTTTTGTAGCACAGTGTCATATATAGGTGTGACGTCATAGAAGAGGGTTTGAGAAGCCATAGTTTAACGATTGTGAGATTGAAAGAATTGTAAAAATGGATTTCTACAACGTGTATTTGGAATAAAAAAAAACTTTGGCTGATTTAGTCTCTTTTCACCTAATTATGGGGTTTATATCTTCCAGTTGATTTGATACACAAGATCATGCTCCAGGTACGAACAATTTCTAAAACGATGCAAGCTGTTGACAAACAAGGTGATGAAACAAGGATATCAACAGTCTCGTTTAAAGTCGACATTTCGTATGTTCTATGGTGGATACGATAACCTTGTCAGCAAGTACAATCTAGCATTAAGTCGAATCCTAACTGACGTTTTTACACTAATTTTTAGGCCATTATTTACATACTGAACTGTTTGCCCCATCATGAGAAGGAACACATGGCGGTTTTGACCGGTCGACAGGAGATGCTTACTCCTCCATGGCACCTGATCCCACTTCTGGTATTTTTTAGAGGTCCGTGTTTGCTCTGCTCTCTATTTTTATTGTTTCAATGGACTTTTGAGCTTGATTACTGTTTGTTATCTCCATATATCATCGCTGTCAGCATGGGTTATTCACTCTTATTACAAGGAGTATTTTATTTTACATTCTTCATGAAGGGAAGGAAAACAGAGAGTTTTGACGCACCTCTTAAATTCTGTCACACCGTGAAAGTATATCACTTTGATATTTATTCACTCTGTGACAGAATATCAGTTTTACTTAATAATAGATTATAATATTTCACTGTTGAAAATGTAATAAAAAATCATATCAAACCACAACCCATAGGAGATTCGAATTTAGACTGACATTTGCTCGTACCTCCAGGACAGAGTGAATTTATTCTTGTTCCAAGTTGAGCTGGATTCTCCTCTTGGAATAAAATCGTCGTACCAGTCGCCGTTATAGTTCCCACACAGCCCCTCTACATTCTGGGCATCCAGGGTGGAGGACACAATCTGAATAGTCGTGATCCATTTGGACCATCTACTGACGTAGAAGCCTATTTCAGTTCCACTTCCCAGTGTTACCTAGATAATCCTAAAATACATGTATACATGGTCCGGAGCAAACACATCGAATTCGTAACAAAAGTTCATTTAGATCTTTAAAAAATTCTAGAAGTATAATTACGATGGTACTTTGATTTCCTAGCCTCTCTGTAGTGGTTCTTAATGTCGACATATGTTAAAAGAATACACATCAATGATTTCATTATCCTTTAGTTAATCATACTCATGTCATATAATGAACATCAACGGAGAAGATTCTAGAATAAAGTAGAAAACTGTAGCGCCCCCAAATAAAATCAAATACATTGTAATAAAAATATGTACCTTTTCATCGCGCCAAGGAAAGGAAAGTTTGTTGATCCCCAAAAAGAAGAATTACTTCACGTGTTGAAGCCAATAAATATATTATTGCCCGAAACACCATCTTCCCAAGTCAAGGATTTAAAGTTAAGCTGAATTTTTTAACCGACTTTCAATATTGCCTCGCATTCTCTATTTAAATCGCTTACTCTGATTGGTCAATAGCAGAGGTCAATAGAGTTCAAAATGTGTAATCTCACTAGATGGCGCGATTGTAAACTCCATCAAAGTCAGTCTATTCGGTCAAATATTTATGTGGAGCAGAGTGGATCAGAAACCCTTGACTTGGGAAGATGCCGAAATACAGGACGTATCAAAGCAAAAACAGGACATATTTAATGAAAATATGGCGAAAAATTCATTGCAGCATCGATAAGTTTTATCTGTGGTCTAAAGCTTACTCGTCAAACTTTGAACCTCTATTAAAATCCTTAAGAGTTAAATTATATTATTAACTGATGTCTTTATTATTTGAGTCAACATCTGAAAATGTCAAACAATAGATATGGACAACTTACGGTCACCCGCGTGGCGCAGTGGTTAGAGCGTCTGCTCTAGAGTCGCGAAGTAAGGAGTTGATCCTTACGTCGCGGGTTCGAATCCCACTGTGGGACGTGGAGACCTGTCCTTCGGATGAGACCGTATAAACCGAGGCCCCGTGTCGCAGTAAGTGCTGGCACGAAAAAGACCCCTCACTGCTCAATGGCCGTAAGTGCCGAGTATAGGACAAAATTTGCAGCTCTCCATCGGCAAGTGGTGGCGTCTCCATATGAGTGAAAATTTCTCGAGAGGGACGTTAAACAACATACAAACAAACAAAATTAATGGACAACTTACGAAGCTGTGTTTTGAAGGTGTGGTCCCTTGGTCATGAATAACAAAAGAAATCAGTGACAGGTGCACACTTCAAAGCTTTCGTAAACACCGAGCACAGGTTTGTTCTGAGTCGAGTTCGAAATAAAATGTGTATATCATATGTATAAAGGTTGAGTGAAAATATTTCTGCTGAACACTTTATGCTCTTTGTTTTCTAATTAGAATTGTTGTGACTTTGAATCTTTTCGCTGACTTCATTTATTATGCGATTAACCTCTTTGTAACCTGTTTAGAATCAGAACAAGCCACGGGGATTTGTATCGTCACGGGTAAATGCCCCTAGTAAACGTGCTAGCTCGCAGATGAAACGTACTCATTTTTATATCTGTCAGTATGGACTTGGTTGGTTCATCTCATTATAGCGTTTTTTTTTTTTTTTTGCCAAAGTTTTGCAACAGAAAATTATATATCTGAATAAAATGAAATATAACGTAAACTTACCCTGTACCAGGAATATCTCTTCCGGACAACCAATTCGTCCTCATTGCAGCCGCTGTACATTTCAAAAGGAATACTCAGGAGTTTTTTGCGTCGGTATGATATTTCTACGCATGTGCGAACAACATACAAGCTACTTCCGCTTCTAATTGCAACACCGCATGCACAGGAAGCTCTCCTCCAAGGAAAACATGAAGAGTACAAAACATGGACCTATACAATAGAGAAAAACCATGATTGCTAATCAAATCAATGAATGTCCATTTTGAGAGTTATCTGGAACTTCTAAATTGACTCTTACAGAATAAGGCAACTTTTTATGCTGATACATGACGAATTCGCCAATTCTCTGGTTGGAATAAAAACGACGATCGAAGGTGTAGAGATAGGGATCACTGAAGGAGTAGCAGTAGTGTCCTCCCCAGTCAGATTTATCATAGACAGAGACCTGCGGAATGAATTTATACATTTACCAAATGCAATTTCTCTTCATTCATATTCAAGAAAAAAAATTGAAACTGTTATCTGCTTTGAACAAGTGCTTGCAATTTCAAAATATAAACTAAATGCTTTATACAGAGATCATGGTTGTACCCATAAGGTCTGCGGAACATTGATATTCTTCCAAGCGTTAGAGGCATCTGTCGGGTTTGTGGAAGATTCGAGCCTTATTCTTCCGTATCTCCGCCACCGGTTGCGTCTTCCATCTACGTATCCAGTGATGTTAAGGAGTACTGGTTCCCTCCAATACTTGAACGGAAAGGACAACATGCATCCATTATCAGGAAATGCTACATTCAAATTGCTGATGCCATTCCAACACCAACGCCAATCCAGGGAGCGGATGTGTAGATTTCCCTTACATTTCGCCTCTTTATCAGAATCGGTCAAAGAGGCAGAACAGCCAACCGGAAGCGTACTGGTAACCGACACCGAAACGGTTTCTCCTTCTTCAACAGAGGTCCATGTTGTTCCA